TGCAACTAACGCGGCATTTACAGTAAGATATCAAAGTTACTTGATCCTAAAGTGGGCACCACCAGAAAAAGAGCTTGTTTCCGTGGTCTTGGCAGTGGCAAAAGCTGGCTTCACTTCAGCTGGCAAGGCATTGCGAGAGCTTCTACTCCAGCAATTACCTTTAATCCTCCTTGGGTTCAACTCAGTTCAAAAGAAAACAAACTTGGGCTTTGTTTTGTTTTCTCGCCTATTTTACTACTGAGAAAAAGAAGTAGACAAGAAAATAAATATGCAGAGTGGACAGCTAATCAAAGTACCTTCACTCGTTTTCAATGATTAATTTCGTTTGCATTTTGCATTTCTGACCTTAAATGTATCGTGGTGTGTCATGACGGAGTTAATAGTTTAGAGCACTAGTATTTCCTTGTTAAGATTTTTTCGAATTCTCATTTCTTTATTAGAAATTAATTGATCAACTCAGTTGAAGAGTACGACTTGCTTGCAGGTGTCTGGCATGCCTACTGTCATCCGTTGCATAGATTCGTCCTATCTGATGACACAGTACCAGACCAAAACGGTTGCATCTACGGCCTGCTGCAGGCACCACCATTTTGCACTAACGCTGCAAGCCATCTGTGACCACAAGAAGCACTTCTTTGATACATTCACTGGAATCTCCAGCAAAGTGCATGATCTCACGTGTTCAGCTTTTGCCACTCCGCTGCGGTCTAGTGGCTAAGGCACTCGCCTGCTGACCCGCAGGTCATGGGATCGAATCCCGGCTTCGGCGGCTGCATTTCTGATAAAGGCGGAAATGCTGTAGGCCCGTGTGCTCCAGTTTGGGTGCAAGTTAAAGAACCCCAGAAAGTCTAAACTTCCGGAGCCCTCCACTACGGCGTCCCTGATAATCATATGGTGGTTTTGGGGCATTAAACCCCATATACCAATCCATTATTTGATCAATCGATCAATCACGTGCCAGGGACATTACCACATATTAGGGGAGGCAACTTATTCACTACGAGAAGACCTCGTGACACCATAGAGGGATTACAGTGCTATGACGAAGTGGGAAAAGGATATTGTTTTAGGTTTTCAGGATCACGAGTGCTTATTGAAAATGCATTCAGCACACTTAGGAAGCGATTCAAGTAGTTCATGTACTTTGAGTTACACGCTGTTCACTGTCTCGATGAGTTTATTACCCTTGCTGTATTCTTCCTTGCTTGCACGCAGATTATAGTGATTAACGGTCTGATTATGGCGATGTTGAAGGAACAAATAATGCTTCTCAGTGGCAAACAGTACTGAAACAATGACGCACGTACTCTCAGTACGCTTTAGGTTGATCATATATAACTCTCAGACAAACTCAAGAAAATAGCGCGAGACCCCCCTAAAATGTTTAGCTTCAATCTACTTAGTGTGGTATTTAAGGAATCTTTAATGATATCACAAAAAAGGTAGTACTTATATCAAGTGTCATAAAGAATATTTTAAATTCAATTTGTGTATTTGGCAAATGAAGGTAGCGCCACCGGAGTAAGACATGACTTGATTGTGTAATGTATTTCTCCAACTCAAAAATTAATTGTGTGTGCTGCCACCTTTATCACATTTCTGCAGGCAAAACATGCAGTTCTAAAAAATCTATACCAATATGCTGGGTTAAGCAATTGTTTCCAGCGTGTTGACGTAGTTGCTTTCCTTACCATTACTTGGGAGGCAAGAGATACTGCAGTACGGAGTGTTTCTCAGTGATGGCGCATATCAGTCATCGATTTACTCCATCACTTAAATCATTTCACTACATGTGGGGATGCATACCCTCCCTAATGTAAAAACAGCGAGATGCCAGTACGTTTTTTTCACACTGGTACACGCTGGAGACACTGGTACACGCTTGTAATCACTGGCACGTCGCTGGGCGCACTAGGAAAAAACTGTGTCGCACTGGTAGGGACGCTGGTTCAAACGCTGTGATGCTGGTGCGCACTGTGAAGCGCTGGAAGCGCTGGAATTTTCACTGACAAGCGCTGATGAATACTGGAGCGCGCACTGTTTCCACTAGCGCAGCTGCAGCGTGCATGTTATTGTAGCGTGTGCCTTGGTTTGTTTCGGTGTCGTTGAATATAAAAAGCTTAATTCGACAGCAGGGAGAGATGCTACTCTAACAGATACCGAGCATACGTAATTTTTGCGGCGCACGTATACGTATCGCAACAACTATAATGCACTTACGCTTACGCCCACGCGTAAACCAGTCATATTCGCATCATCTGTGTATTGCTGTAACGATTCCAAGTTGCAGTGTTTGTAAGCCTGGAGCTGCACGCCACACCTAACAGAAGCAAGGAAATTGCTTTTGCCGCGAAGTTGACGAAACGTAAATGAGCTCCCTCGATCGCTTCGTAAGGTTTTCCAGCGGAGGCGAGAAAAAAAGCTCTCGTTCGATTCCGCCACACGGCATAAATGTATGTCTAGCCATGGTTATCGTTTTACTTACTTCAGGTAAGAGCTAGAAATGTTCCGAAGCTCAAATGCAGAATCTTCACCCATAACAACTCAACGCGTCGAGAGTGGTCTTACTCAGTGCCGGGCCCAGCCAGGATTAAGCCTGTCGTGCCAGCCGCGTTGGTATATATGTTACCGGCGCTTCTTGCTTTGTGTACACACAACTTTAAAGTGTGAGAATAACTGTGAAGTATAGTTTAGACATCCATGAACCTAAATCAACTATTTTGTCTTGTGTCGATGTTCGCACAAGGAGCGCTGGCGATCGAACGTCGCGCTTTCAGCTACGCAGGCTGTCACCGAAAGCTGCCGGCCGCACTTAGCCGGTACTTCTCCGACTGATATATAACAACACGCAATTTTCAGTTGGTAATTTGGTACGCCTTCGTGAACTGACTCTCTGGCATAAGTTTTCAGCAGATCGCATTGGTATTTATATGGGTGTTTTTTTTTCATTGTTGTTATTGTTATAACTGCATGTATCTGTACAATGGCACACACGCTGTATATATACTGCCAGCGGAGGCCAGAAAAACGGCCGGCGTTCGCCATCGCCACTCCGTAAATGCATTTCTGGCATTGCTTGACCTTACACTTTCTTCAGGTACAGTTTAGGTAGCAGTTAGAAACATTGCGAAGCTCAAATGCAGAAACTTCAAGCATCGCAACACTGCTGCGCAGCCTTACCCAGTGCCCCGTCCCAACGAAGCCTATCGTGCCGCCCGTGTCGGTGTACCTGCTGCCGGCGCTATTTACTGTAAGTAGGCACAATTCTAAAGTGTAAGAATGACTGTAAAGTACAGTTTAGACATCCCCGAGCTTAAACCAACCATTTATCTGCGCGTGCGGTGCCCGCACAAGGAGCGGCAACGATCGATGTGTCGTGCTTTCAGCAACGTAGACTGTCACCGACAAGCTTCTTTCTGTGCGCAGAAGCCGGTACTTCTCTGACTCGTACGTAATAACACGCAATTTTGAGTTGGTAATTTGGTACGCGTTAGTGAACTAACATACTGGCATACTTTTTCAGTGGATTGCATTAATCATTGCTTCGGCGGTTTCTTAGTTGCAGGTATCGATATAACTGCAAAAATGTATTTTGGCACGCCGGATGTGTACTGCTACATCGTCACTTGCGCTAAAAAAAACCAACATTCACTCGTGTGCGTGGATATCTACCAAACTAGACATGTAAATCATCTGTACTTGTTGATCAGTAGCAACTGCTAGAACCGACTATCAAAGGAACAAAAACTATCGGCAGCAACAGCTCACAATCTGTGGCTGTTCCTCCAGTCAAATTGAGATTTTTCAGAGTTAAGATGTACATGCTTCAAAAAACTGTGCGCTCTTACTAATATCTGCACGTCATTCGGTGCCCGAAAGCCGGTCGTCAATGTCGAATCAAGACGCAATTGTTATTTGGAAAGGAATATCGTGTCAGTCTTGACTATGCGACTTGTAAACATGAAGGTGAACGGCGCGTTGTTCGGATAAATGGACGTTTTACAACCGCACATCCACGTCTTGGCGTGGCGTAGTGTGTAGCGTACTCGGTCAGAGTTCAGAAGGTAGCGAGCTGAAATCCCGTCAAGCAGTGTTTTATTTTTTTAATTTTTTATATTTTATTGTTAATGTGCGCTATTTTATTCATATATTTATTTATTTATTTATGGCGAATGGGCATCCTCGTTTTAACCCTGTGAAGTGATTTTGCGCAGAGTACTGGGACGCTGCCGCTGCAGCGTCCCAGTACCTGCGCTGGGAGGCGCTGGTACCAGCGCCATACTGGGCCCATAATCAGGCATGGCGCTGGACGCTGGTACCCAGTGGCACTGGTTTTTGCAATAGGGCTGAGCTTAATTCTGTTCTAGCCTTGAAGGAAGTTCCCTTGTCGAAACGTCAGCTCGAGACAACCCCTGTTTACGAATTCTCATCGGAAGCTTTCATCATTCCCTTCCTTCAGTTTTCTGAATTTATTTAGGATTACTTAAGAGCGCTTCTCGTCTACATCTAGTCACTTTCGGACAGTATATTCAGTTCAGTGAATTCAGAAGTAGAATACTTTATATTATTACTAGCACTCTGAAACTAAATGTCAAGCTTTAGTTGCAGGTGGAGCGACTGCCGTCACTGAGCGAGATGGGCGTTCTGTTAAGAGCTAATTAATCTATTCATTTGAACTAGGGAGCTAATGAAGCCCTCTCAGCGTATCACGACAATCTTTCCTGTAGTTGATATTTGGTTACTTCTTATTTTTCAGATACCCGGAAAAGGTGTATTTTGACATTCCTTCAAAATGACACGCAGATATGGTGCGTCGAACTTCCTTCCCTGTTGACGTAAATAATTAATTTCAAATGGAGGTTTAAGCTGGCTCGTAAGAAGAACGAATCTAAACAGGAACTGCCTTACAGTTGCACTTTACTCTATTCAAACGAAAATTTGTGTTCACGAGGGGTCGCTGTGCTCTTCAGATATAAAAGAGAGGATAGTTTATCAAGTCCTCACAATTTTAGCTACTGAGCATCTACGCCAAACGTGCTGAAATACCTACAATGAAAGCTGTGATAGTCCTTGCCTTTACCGCATTTGCCCTAATTATGTGAGTATAGCTTCCTTCCCGCTCTTTGTGGTAAAGGAAGCGCCAGCAGTGACCGCTGGCTCGCATTGCAATAGTAAACTCTCCTTTGCGAACGAATAAGGATTCTGCGGTCGTGGCATGCTTGTTTTACTAAGCATTTATGTACCATTTTGGACCATTTAGTATGAAGATACAAGAAAAATACTTGCAAACCCTTGTTGAAGCATCGGTTACCTGGTCAAATTCTAGGGAGCATAGTACAATGTTTCGTCGATCATCTACAACTCTAAATAATTAGGAAGCACCTATACCATCAAAGCTGCACTGCCGAGATCAAATTATCGTACGTACATATGCTGCCTTGGACAATTGGACGACGAGGGCAGTGTTGGATTATGAATGCTTTTTCCCAGTTAAAATATTTTTGAGCTAATAGATTGCGGCTTTACTTCAATGCATGAAACATTATGGAGAGAGATGTCAGCTGCATTCCTGTGTGCAAAAAATAAATCACCTGAAACGTGCAAGAACAGCTGTCAAGGGGAAAAAATTGGCAGATCCCACAAACAGTGGGAATCGATGATATGCGAAACACGAATGAGAAAGGTGGATATGCCACTATAAAATCAACACAACGTTACGAGGTGGAGGTAAATGATGTACATGGCTTCGAAGTTATGATTATCATGTTTGGATGTGTCGTTCACCTTAGTCATCTATTCACGCCCGTGATACCAAGTTTAGTATATTTGGAGCTAGCGAAACGGCCGCGAGCACGCTACGAGCGTGATATGTTGTCATGCGCTTACATGACACGCGCGTCAGGATTATCATGTTTGCACCAGTCATATACTTCGTCAACCACTGATGTCACGTATCACCAAATTTAGTATATGTTGAGCTAGCAATATGGCCGCGAGCACATCATGAAACACCCAATATACTTCAATGTTGTGCGCACGCTAGGCACAGTGATGCTACGTTAACAAAACACGAGCACTCTATAATCTGACGCCAGGCGCGACCTGCGTCCGTCGGTGCGCCGCGACGGCAACAGGCGCGAAATGCGACATGCTGCATTTCGTGCCGATGCGTTACCCAGACAACACTGCGTCTCCCTCTTTTCGTGATGGATGGACGCCTGACTTGCTGAAACGCGCATGCGTCAAAGCAACGCAGCGTGGCGCGTGTCTGCGAGTATATGGTAGGACCGGCATCTGGCGGTGCAACGCGGGCGTGACGCAACGAAATGAACGCCGGCGAGCACGCGCACCACGTCACGTCAAAATGTATTGGCGCCTTGGATGTGGCATGTAGTTATGTTCTCACATGACATGCATCTCATGATTATCATGAGATGTGTGAGATGAGATTATCATGAAATGCGTGATATTATTATGAGATGCGCGTGATTATCATGAGATGCACCAGTCACAAACTTTCGACATCCATTGACGTCACGTAATACCGAATTTGGCAAGTGAAGCTAGCGAAACGGCTGCGAGCGCATCATGACTGTGGGATGTAGTCATGTTACATGACACGCATGGCGTGATTATCATGTTTGAATGTGTCATTTACCTATGTCGTCCGTTCACGTCACGTGTTACCGAGTTTGGTACATGTGAAGCTGGCGAAACGGCCACGAGCCAATCAGGAGCGTAGCATGCAGTCATGTTGCCACATAACACGCATCTCATGTTTATCAAGTTTCCACCAATATCATACCTTCGTCATTCATTCACGTCCCCTAATACCAAATTTGGTATAATTGAAGCTAGCGAAACGGCCGCCAGCGCATCATGCACGTGGCATGTAGTCATGTTACATCACACGCATCTCATGATTATCATGTTTGCACCACTCGCATACCTTCGTCATACATTCACGTACCGCTATACCAAACTTGGTATATGTATTTGGTATATGTAACGCTATCGAAACGGCCACGAATGCAACATGAGCGTGTAATGTAGCCATGATGTTACATGACAAGCATGTCACGATTTTCATGCTGGGGTCTGTCACTAGTGTTCACCAAGCAATCATGTCATAACATATCAATTTTGCAACATGCCATGTGAACGAAACCACCACAAGGGCTGCAGAACCATGAAATGTGTATCATGACATTCATAACATACGTGTCAAGATTTTCATGTTATGCCTAGTCACATATGTTATTTATACAGTCGTGTTATGCCATACCAAGTTTGGTATCGGTAGAATTATCGAAACAGCCAGGATAGCTAAAAGTCGTAGGCGGCTAGATAGATACGCTCAAAGTCGCCGAAGTTCGCCAAGAAATGCTTCGCATTTTAAAGCACTATGAGCTCATGTCCTGTCCGAGACTTCTCGCGTGTTATCCGTCATTGCACTATCGTTTCTCATGAAAGATGCACTGCGGTAACTTTCTACAAGCTGCAACCATCGAGTTTCTCTGGCATGCATCTTAACTTCTTTCAACTTTCAGTCATCACTGTATTCCTTCGAAGCACTCAACTTCATTGTTTTAGGGGCGAAGCTTCTTATAACGGCACCCGTTCGTCCTCCGTAGTATTTAACAAGTATAACATTTTGACCTCCAAGGTGGTGCCGGTGAGAGACTTCTTCTGTGCGTTGTTGAACAATAAAAAATAGTGCTCAATGTACATGTCAATGACTGCTAACGGGGAATGAGCGACAGGAGCATTCGGCTTTTAGTTAACGCGCAGGCTGCAATCACCATTAGCAGCCATTGGCATGTACCTTGAGCATTATCTGACAAGAAAGGGTTGCTACGTTATACTCGCTGGGTGTAACCTCCTTAGCTTTAGAAAGGTTTAGCGAGCGTTGAGCCGCAGTGCCATGAATACAATGAACTTGTATATACCATGAATGAACTCGAGGTGGTTAAAAATGGAAAGTAGATACGAAGCGCAAGCCGTAAAAAAGTAAAAGCCGAATCATCCGCCTCTCATTTCCCATTATCAGCCATTGGCATGTACATTGGGCACTATCAGACTGAAAAAGTTTGCTACGTCATACTCGCTGGGCGTAACCTCCTTGGTTTTCGAAAGGTTTAGCGAGCGTTTGGCCGCAGTGCCATGAATACAGTGAAGTAGTATATACCATGAACTCGAGGTGGTTAAAGGTGAGAAGTGGACCCGAAGCGCAAGCCGTAAGAAAGTGTGCATGTGCCACCTCTCGTTTAGTCCTATGAATGCCCGCTGGATGGCGGTGCTTCTATATGGGGAATATATGATGAAAAGATGTGAGATGGTGGTACTTGGAGTGTTGAATAGATGGACGAACGGACACAGACAGATGCATGGATAGACGCATGAACGGACGCAGGGGCGGCTGCATGGACGAACGCGGGGACGAACGCACGAATAGACGCACGCACGGACGGGCTGATGGACGCATGGACAGTCACACTGACGGACGCATGGACGGACGGAAGCAAGAACGAATGGACGGACGAATTCTTCGCCCCACTCTCCATCATTCACTCCGTGGATATGCTGCCATTTTTTTATCATGGTAGCAATTATCTGGATACTTTCAGCTCGTTTCGCCATCACCGCTACGTCTACCGTGATATCGCATACTTAGAGTATAAAAAATAGGTGATGCGATCGCGGTAGGTACAAACTCCTGGTTGATACATACTTTTTCTTTCGTTCCGGCCTTCACCGTCAGCGCAATGGTCAAGGAAGCACGTCGTACACTCGGCGAAAAGGACATCTCTAACCACATCTTGTTTCCTGCTCACACGGGCCATTTTGAAGGCTGCGCCACCAACTTCAACGAGCTGGTCCGCTCCAAGGCAAGAGGTATGACGTTCCGCGCCCACGGTGGTTCTCTCCTTCCCACGACGTTGGTCAACAAACATGAGCCCACGACATACAATGAGCTAATGCGGCACTAAACTATATGCTCCAATTTCTGGCTAACCTCTCTGTCTTTCCCTAATTTTATTCTCTCGCTGTGTGTCTCTCTACACAAGCAAGAGGATTTACACCTTTCTCGCAAAACACTACACTGAGCCCAAGCGATAACGCTTATACTCTTAGAAACAGATGCACAAACAAATCTAGTTTTTTTCCATGAACTTCATCACGATACTTACCCTACCAGCTCGTGCCCCCGCTGTGGGGAAGTAGCTATCTTAGAGCATATTGTCGCGACGTCAAGACAGAGGTCATATTTGAAGACGCTGAGAAAGCAGCAGCGGGTTGGCCTTTTTATCTTTTTAGTTGCCGCGCGCCAGAGAGTTCCTCGTCTTTCTCGTTGTTGCGTTCTGCATAAAGCGTGCAGATGCGCCTATGCACTGTCACTTTCGTCTTTATCGCGGGACGCACGTTACATTTGCCTCCCTCCAGAAATGGCATTGCTAGATGCGCAGCCAAGGCGCTGTACGTACAAAAACGCACATATGCACCGGCAACCCCAGGACAAACAAGCGGAGTGGTTCTTGAGAGAAAGGAAGAGAAAAGTGAGCCCCGTTATTGTCTGCTTCAGTGAGCGACACCGCCACAGAGCTCACAAAGGGATGGGGGTAAGGAGGGATAAAAAGGGTAGAGGTATAAGTATAGGAAAGAAGAAGAAGAAGCAACAACAAACTGAGGGGATAGAAGAGACAGGAAAGATGGAAAACGGTCACTGGAGTCCGAGGACGGGGTACACTTGCGAGAGATGGTGTCGGCGTCTGTAGATGGCGTAGAGCAGGTCCAGTAGGTCAGAGCTGCGCTGTCACCGAAGACAGCCGGCGACAGGAGATGACGTAGGGCCAGCCCAGTCGGCCAGAGCTACGATGACGCCGAAGGTCGCGAGCGCGCGGAGCGCGCGGGCGCACAACCGGTCGCCACGAAATCCAGGGAGCGTCTCCAACAAGAGTTAGCTGGAGAAGTAGGGTTTCATCCGGATGACATGCACGATCTCGGGTGAGCGGTTTCGGCGACTGGAACTGCAATCGCCGTCGGCAATAGCTTCTTAGTTGATGTCGTTCAATCGTCAGATGACTCGATATGGGCCGA